TTTACGTATTATTATACAAATTATTTGACTATTTTTTGTCACAGAGTGATTTGCGCTTAAGTGGGTCGGGTTTCAAGCGTCTAAGGATGGACGGTTGAGCCGATGTCTAGGTGGTTCGAACCCCGCAACGAGTATTCTTCTGTTTTGTTTTGATTTTATGTGATATAAGTCTCATACCTATGTTATATATATATATATGTTTGAACTATCTGGTCACAAGAGTAGCTTGGCTCAGTAGTTTGGCTCAAAATGGTTTGGGCCTATGACCTAGCTTGAGATCGGGGGTTTCGTAAACCCCGATCCCTTGTATTCGTGTTTTATTTCCCTTTTTTTGCGTGGTTTTGCTTACGCCGATTAGTCACCTAACGGAATATTCCATTCGCAGTAACGCATATGCTCGGCTTGACAATCCATAGACAGAATATTCCTTGTCAGTAACGCATATTCTCCAATTGTGTTTGTGTATCTTTTGTTCGATATTTGTCCCTTGGGTGAAAATGTTGTGGAGACGTCCACAAGGTTGAGGAGGGCACTGTGGAAATGTGAGGCTGAGTCCATGAGAAGTAATCCGGACCTTTTTATCGATGTTTGAGAGTGTGATAGAAATGTTTATTTTGATATTAGGATGTATATTGAATTTCCTTTGGTGGAGATTTATTTTAACTTGAGGTTTAGTCTATTTATTAAACTATTTGGAATTTAGAACTGTTTCTGTTTAATCTTTATATGTGCTTAAAATGTGATTGGTTTTGTATACTTCTAGAGTGAGAAGCGTAGACATATTTTGTTACTGGCCTTAAAAAGAGCGGTATTAAACTTGTCAATAAGTGAGGCTAGTATAAGCAAGAGTTGTTTAAGTTTTAGTTTGACTCGTGGGTTTATTAGTAATATTAGTGTGATGTAGAATAGTGTTGGTAAGGTATTGTCTGTCTTTGTTGATGGTGTGACGTCCACTATTTAAGTGTTGGTGGGTTAGTACTTTTGAAGAGTATTATTTTGTTTTGTTAAGGTCTCGAGTAGTGACAGTTATTTTGGCCTTGGGATGCACTGTGCATTAGGCGATGGAGATAGTTCGTGAAGTTGGGTTTATCGCCAATAAGAGATCGTCTTGTATTCTGGGGAGTCATTTTTGTTTATACTTAAGGAATTTAACCTATTTTGTTGTCTTGGGTTATCGATATGGAGTTAGAAGAATCATTTAATGTATATTACAATAAGGGTTTATATAATCAATTGTGGTGCAAAGTGAATGATTTGGTTCTTACCGGTGTACTAGTTGTTTGGCTTAGGTTAGAGGTCAAAGAATTTATGTTGATTTGTAATCGGTAAGTGTTTGTGGTACTGTAGAATGTTTAACACTACTTAAGTTTAATTTCGAGGACAAATTTTTTTTTAATGAGGGTAAGTTGTAATGACCCAAAAAAAAAATAAAAATAGAATAAAATTAGCCAAGACTTCTCTGGAACACTAACATTGAGAATGATGTAGTAGATATTTTTTGCTTGCAAGACAATTGGAAAATTTTAGTGGGGAGGAATAAATGCGGACCCAACCACTTACACTTTTAGCTAATTGCTTTAAAACAATTGCTCAACATCATGATGTTTGAGTTAGTTGCAACGAAAAGCTAGCATGTGGGATGATACTTTTTTTTTTTTGGGCCATTAAACATAAACATAGACTCAATGGCTGAACCTTATCTCTCCTCTCTCTAGGTATATATTAACACACATATATAGATAGGAGTATTAGATACACAAGTGCAAATTCCAAACTAGTGATACCTGAGTGACTGAGTGGTTTATAAATTAGATGGAGTTGGTTCAGCGACAGTTGTGTTTTAATGGTTTGTATACAGTTTTTGCAAGTTTTGTCCTCGTCTTCAGAAGACTCAATATGTAGAGGATTCAAAGAGAAAGGGTTCGAAATCAAAGTCGAGTGGAAGAGTAGTGGGTTTAATAAAAAAACCATTCAAAGAAACTTGCCACCGCTTGATTATGAATGCTAGCGATGGAGGGGCGGAGGTAGCAGGAGGTGGTGGTGGTGGTGGTGGAGAAAGCCGCCGAAACCTGCAGCGATTTCAAAGTGTTTGATGTTCTCCAATGCCTTTCGGAGCCACAGTCCGAGACGGCGGCAATGGCGAAGTCGTCAAAGAGTTATGTTCTTGACGCCGGTGATGGTTTATGCTGTGCATATCATACAGGAAATGTAGGTTTCAACGGCGTTTTATTTAATGGCGTTTTTCTTTGAACGTCACTTTTTTATAATATTTAACGGCGTTTTGTAAACGTCACCTTTTTTTAAATGAAAACGACACCGTTTTAATGATAGGAGGCGTTGAAAAGCGCTTCCAAATCTCTAAAACTTATCTCCCCTAAATGGTGCGCCAGCCTCTGACTCACTCGTTCTACACCCTCTTCCTATCTCGTCATCACTCAACCCTCTCCTGATCTGGACGATCGCTCTCTCTCTCTCTCCTCTCAAATATTCCATAGCAGTGATCATCTCAGAATTATCATCGATCGAGTATCTCAAGGGATCGCTCTTCTCAAGCTCCTCTCTCATGGATGGATCGTCGAATCTCGGTTGATTCATCTAGAATGACATCTCGGCGATTTTCGAATTTTGATTATCAAAGTGCTCTCTGCTCTCGATTTCGAAGGTCTCTCTCTCAAATGTCGAAGGTCTATCTGTTGATTTGGTCGTTGATTTTTTTGTGTAGATCAAGGGCATTGCATATGCGGGAGATCAAGGCATTGCAGAGAGGCAGAGGTTCGGATCTTACCCCTTCTCTCTCTATATATGACTATGTTGAAATCTGATTTGGTGGATTCCTGTTTTGTTTTGTTTGTTTGGTTGATTCTGTTTTGTTTGTGTTAGTTCAGTGATTCTATATATAGTATATATATATATTATAACTCAAATTCAAATTTTGTTTCTCTGTTCATTTTTCTAGCAGTGATTCAAGCTTTATTTGATAACTATTTGTTATCTGGAATGAGGAAAATAACTAAATACCCTTCGATTTTCTAGTTATGTTGCACAGAAATACGCTTAGCACTGTGTATGTTTGAATGAGAAGAGTGATATTTATAGCTTTGGAATACTATAAATGGAGATAATTTCTGGAAAAAACCCTGTTGATATAGTCAACCAAAGGGAGAAGGTTAGTCTTGAAATATTATGCTATCCTAATTATCTTTCCACCCTTTTTTCCTCCATTCATTTCTAACAATCCGAAGTGAAAATAAAATAATTACAGGTGAGCTTTGTTGATTGGTTGAAGACAATGTTTGGAATCG